AAAAAGACAGAAATTTGGGGGTATTTATTTAGTTATTTATTTTAATGACATAAACCATTTACATCTCGGTCAAACAAAGCTCTGTGTAAACAAATAACTTAAAGTCTAGTCCCTAATTTGTAGGAAACAGTAATTCAAATAAAGGTCAACAAACTTTTCTGTAAAGTGCCAGACAGAAACTATGTGAGACTTTGTGGGCCAAACAGGCGTGTGTTGCATCTACTCAGCACTATTATTATAATACAAGAGCTATCATAAATGATACAGAAGCAAAAAGCAGGGCCGTATTCCAATAAAACTTTATTTATAAAAACATGCCACGAGCCAGGTTTGGCTGATAGGCCATAGTTTGCCAACCCCTGCCTTAGAGAACAGCCTTGGGTGGACCCATTAGACAAGGATCCAGCAGAACTTTTGAAGTATAAGCAGTGGTCCTTTGTATTATCTCCAAAGATACCGGAACCTTATTCAAGTTACTGATTTTCTTGGCTGTCATGTCTTGGCTTCCATTTACTCATTCACTGAATGGGAATCGTTTTCAGGAATACTTGGGGAATATTGTAAGTACTCCGTGGGCTAGTAGTCAAAAGATATTTATTCCTTCCAAACTCCATTGCATTTTTATTGTCCCTCCCAAAAGCTATTTCAGAATACAAAGTGCTTGCTTAAGTTGAAGGCAGAGACTAACTGACTTAAACAGCAAGAGGCTCGGGGAGTAAAGAACAACTTGTCCACAACTATTTTTCTTTCTGAGCCCAATGGAAGTCCTCTTTCTACTGTTCAATTTGGTGGGGGGCTTCTCTGGTTTAGCCAGCAAAAACATGGAGTCAATTATGGCTTGACCTCCTCTTCTAGATATAACTAGAACTGTAAGAACAGCTCAGAGGATCCATGGGGCCATCTTAGATGCTGCCAACCATATAGGGGATTACAAACCTTTTTAAGGGAAATACATAGGACTGTCCCCAAACACAATCAATTAGGTATATCTATAAAATTTTAAAAAATAAAGTCACCGTAGAACACACTGTGCTTGTACTAGAATGACATCCATCTTGTAGATGTTCACTGACATAAAAAATAAAGCATAACTACTCCTGGTCTGCATGAGGTGAGTAGAGGAATTGAAAGCCAGCCTCAGGAATATGATATTGCTTGACATCCAAGTGAATGATCACTGGACTTGTCTCCTTAACTGGGTATAGAACAAAAATATTACATAAATACATTTAGAATAAAAATAAACCCAAAGTAAAAAATCAAATTCACGAGGATTTTTGGGAATAAGTCGAACCTTCAGTACAGAATTTGAGGAGCCTTCTGAGGTGAATGATTAAGTAACTGCCTTGCCAGATGAGCCACTTCCAGGGCAAAGGGGTAGGTTAGTTGTGGGGAGGATGAGATAGGAAGTCAGGGACTTTGGTCTTAGTTCTACCTCTGATATTCCCTAAAAGAAACTGGAGATCACTCAACCTGCCTAGATTTGTTTCATAATAAACAACAAAACAAAAAAAGTGCAATTGGTTTCTTTGAAATCCAAAGGGCATTACTTTGTTAAGCAATTCATTCTATTTTTAGACAAATTAAACCATGAGTAATTTTTCCCTGTGATTTCTACACTTATATGAAGAACCTACCATCAGCAGCTACAATAGTATCCATCACTAACATATAAAAACAGTATCTCTACTTGGGCTATTTTAGAAAGTGCTCAGACCCCTCAGTTTGAACACATATTTCAAGGTTGCCCTCTTATAGACCTTTTCTATCTTGTGGACATTTCTATTAAGTGACCAATGTGGTATGGTCTTTACTGACCAACAAAAGAAATGGAGTGATGGCCATCTTCCTATTAATAGTTTTCCCCTTATAATATATAGTTCTAATGAAATGACAACAGCTTTTCAAAATGCTGTGTTCAAACATATTTCTATGGTTAATATTGCTCCACAAATTTATTATTCCAGTTTTTCAGATACTTTGATCACTTAACTTCAGGAATAAATTAAGTTTGATTTGGTGGAGGTAGCTAGAGATCTTTTTCCTCACTCTGTGAATAAAAATTGCTTTGAGAAGCATAATAAACTTACATGGAACTGTATGCTCTGAACTTCAAGTTAAACACTATCATTTATATTTGGTTCAAGTGGATTATGTAGAATAGTCCATTGTTTCTATGGTATTAGCTCTAAAGACTGTGAAATATCACACATAGCCCAAATGTCTATGAGCAAAGACTCCTGAATGGTTGATGTAGACATCATCCTATAAGAAGGTAGCCCTAGATGTGAATATTTTTTGAGGTCAGCACAGACTCCTCAATGGTAAATACATGCAGAATAACCTATGAATGCATAATAGTAATTATTATTGAAATAATAATAGAAGTTACCATCTATTGATAAATTGTTTGTGCCCAGTACTGTGTTAAGTACTTTCATTTACTCATCATGAAAATTCATTTACTATCTCTTAACTAGGTGCTAGTATCCCCATTTTACAGATAAGAGAGCTGAGGCTTTGAAAGATAAGTCAGCTTTGCCAAGGTTAAGCAATTAAGTAATGGCTAGAGCTCAGATTTAAATCCACCTGTGACTGAGCCCAGCAGGGAGTCCTAGTTTGAGTCTTAGTGATACCTACCATAGAATTCAGGCTTCCTAGCCATGTCTGAGGGGGCATCCATTATGAATGGATGTGCATGAAATATTCTGAAGGAAAAATATGGTCACATGAAGTTTTATGCAAGTACAAGAAGCCAGCATCAGAGTTTTTGGACAACTGTCTGCCATCCATGAATTGTTTTCCATTGTCTTCAAAGCTGAGTAACTATGTTGTTCAGGAGACTATAATCCCCCAGGCACTAGAGCATGAGGTAACCTTGTTCTTAGTCTATGTAGCCAAGGAGATAGAGTGTTTTCTTCATGTGGGATACACCTGAAGCAAAGCACTAGACTTATGCTGGAGCTGAGCTCTAGAGAGCTACATTTCCAGAAGAGAGAGTGGACAGAAGAGGGCTTCAACACATTATCATTATGCCACTGGTGGGATATAGGATGGACTCTCCAGAAAACATGGAACGGCGAACAACAGAAAAAATTCTGGACTCTCCTCACTGCTGTGAATGCCTGTGAGAGACTCTCTGAGGAACCCCTGTAGTATTTGTGTGGAGCTTGGAGGAGTTGGAAAGAGTTAAAAAAATGCATGTTCAATTATCTGGTTCTCAGAAGAATGGATTCATATCTATTGATGACATGTAAGATTATATTAGATTTTCTTTTTAACCACTATAATTCGGTTCTTATTAAATAATATTGACTCTGTTACTCTGTTACCCATGTAAATTATATATATATATATTTAGACATTTAGTTGCACACCACTATAAATGATTATTTGATCCCCAGACTTTACATTGGCCTCTCTTAAACATACCTAGCTGATTTCAGTCAGTTATTCCAATCTATGAGGGACATTTTGACATCTTCTGATAAGCACTTTTACTAAATATTTATATTATTTTTTATATAAACAGTAAGATTCCTCAGCTTAGAGCCAAATTTAGTCAAGCTCAACCAATATTAGCCAAACCTCAAAAAAAAACACATAGATTAGACAGTAAGAAAAGTATAATTTTTTTTTCTCACCAAAAATTCTAATAGGCAAAGATCAATGTCAGAGACCTGAAGCATTCCTAGGAATTTTTATTTAGGTTGACACTGAGCCATTTACCAGCATATACAGTTCAACTCATTATGTTCATGCAAAGAAAATATCACTTGTCCCAGGTTTCACCAAATCTCCCCAAAGTACATGCACAACCTTGTCAAATGCCTTTAAAGAAATCAAGATAATTTGTTTTAAAAAGTCCCCACACACACACCCAAAATAATAAGTGTTTAAAATGACTCATTCTTTCTCAACTGTATTTCAATAGCACATGGGAAGAATTTATATTTCATCAAGAATTATCTTCTCTCTCTCTCTCAACTTCCAGTCTTACACAGAAGTTGGTATGGGCAAAACTGCATAGAACATTAGGTAGAAAAGTGGAGACCCTGTGCTCTGAGAATTAAGATGTAAAGAGAATTTCTTCTGCATGAGTCATCAGAGAAATTTTCCTCTCAGAGGTTATAATTAAATTGTGAGTATGAATGAAAGTGTGTTAATTTGGGGTTCCCCAGAAGTAGCCCCTGATTTTATATATCTGAGGTTAAGTGCAAGTAGCCTATTTGGGAGATAAAAGAAGAGAGGGAAATCAATAAAGTTTAGATAATAAGAATGTTTGCACAGTGTGTAACATATCCCAATGGGAAGCCCTGAGGAGCAGTGTTGAGCAAGCAGCTTAGATCAATTCTCTCTGAAGGATAAGGCAGCTGTGTTGTTGTTGTTGTTTTTAATATCTTTTTATTGATTTCAGAGAGGAAGGGAGAGAGAGAAATATCAATGATGGGAGAGAATCATTGACTGGCTGCCTCCTGCAACTTCAGCATATGCCCATGACCGAGAAATCAAACCATGACCTCCTGTTTCATAGGTCTATGCTCAACCGTGGAGCCACTGGGAAGGAAATTGTGCTTTTGTGTGCCATTCCTGACATCCATAGGTTAAGGTAGTTTCAGAAGAAGGAGGTATTAATTCTTTGACACTTTCTGCCTGCCTGTGCTTGGCCAGAGAAAGCCCTCAGGTAAAGAGAGGCAAGTGCTAACAGTTGGAAGATGAGCCACTGAGCATAAAATGGCAAAGATTATGATGTGGATCTCCATAGTATGTGTGATTGTGGTGTATATGTGTGTGTGTGTGTGTGTGTGTGCGCGCGCGCGCGCGTGTGTGTGCACTGAAATAACAATATACCGATGGAAAAAAACCTTCCAAGCTGAGAGAAAAACAGTTTAGCAGGAGCAAAGTATGCATGAAAGGATATAAGAGAATTAGGTGATAAGGATGCATTAAAAGAACATTTCCAACTAGTAAAATTTGTCTAACAGTTTCCTACTTCTACAATGAGATTAAGAATTACAGATCTCATAGCAGAACTAAATGCTGGCTATTCCTGCTTAAATGAAACAATGAAGCTAGAACTGGTAAGCTATATTTCCCATCCATACGCCCCATCCTGTACACAATTCTGGCTGTGAAAGGGACAAGAGAAAACGTCCAGTTCACTGGCTGGTTGGCATTTTGCTTCTCTCTTGAACTCATCTTGAAAAGGTTAGAATACAGTGGTAAAGAAGGCAATCTGATTATGTTCAATTGCATATGGACTCCTAATGCCCTCTGCTTCTCACACCTTTTTTTTTTTTCTCACTTAAGCCACAGTATGGTTAAAATTTAGTTTAGTATAGAGTCTAGATCTGATAAGCCATTTGCTATGTGATAGCAATTAGAAAGTGTTACTCTTCTAGAACATTAAATCTATATTATAAGCCTTTTACCACTTGAAGAATACTTAGTCTAACCTACTAAATAAGTTATGCAATTAAAACTCTTTATATGTATGTGTATGCTTTCAAAAGATCTTCAAAACTAGATTGTCCATATATGACAGCCATAATTTGTAATCCATTGATGAAAGTATACTCTGAGAGTATTCAAATCCCCTTACAGTGCTTTCATAGTAAGCTTTTGGTTCAGAACAACCCATCTATCCTTATCTAATAAAAGAGAAACATGGTAATTGGTGTACGACCGCTACCCTTCCCATTGGCTAATCAGCAAGATATGCAAATTAACTTCCAGCCAAGATGGCAGCCGGCAGCCAGGCAGCTTGAAACTAACATGAGGCTTGCTTGCTTCAGTGATGGAGGCCTCCAACGTCCCCAGCCTGCCTTGCCAGCCTCTGAGCCAGCAGTTTGAACATTGTAACAAATATAGAAGCTAAAAAAAACCCCAGAAACCAGCTTTCAGTGAGCTGGGATCTCAGAGCTGGAGTCAGAGCTGGAGTTATACATTGTTTCAATAATAGAACTGAAACAAACCAGATACCTACTTTCAGCAGAGGAGGCCTAAGAGCTGGAGCCTCAGCGTTAAAACTGGCCCAGAATTTAAAAAAAGAAGAAGAAGAAAAGGAGTGGTTGGGAGCTTCCGTCGTCTGCCAGTCTGAAAACAGCCCTCAGCCCCTCACCCAGGCTGGCCAGGCACCCCAGTGAGGACCCCCACCCTGATCCAGGACACCCTTCAGGGCAAACCAGCTGGCCCACACACGTGCACCAGGCCTCTATCCTATATAGTAAAAGGGTAATATGCCTCCCAGCACCTGGATCAGTGGAGCCACGAGGCCTCCCAGCACCGGGGTCAGCGTGACAGGGGCAGCGCCCAAACCCCCTGATTGCCCTGTGGTTCTGTGTGTGACAGGGGGTGGGCCACAACCTCCCTATCCACCCTGCTCTGTTCATGACAGGGGAAGGCGCCCCAACCACCTGATCAGCCCTGCTCTGTGCCTGATAGGGGGGAGCTCCCCAACCCCCAGATCACCTTGCGGCTCTGTGTGTGACAGGGTGCGACGCTCCAACCCCACCCCCAACCCCCACGGGCCCTGCTCTGTGTGTGACAGGGGAGAGCCATAACCTCCCCATCAGCCCTGCCCTGAGTGTGAGAGTGGTGGCGCCCCCACCCCCTGATCCCCCCTGCTCTGTGTGTCACAGGGGGTGGTGCCCCAATTCCCCTATCAGCCCTACTCTGTGAGTGACAGGGGGGAAGCTCCTCAACCCCCTGATGGGCCCTGCTCTGAGCCCGACCAGGGGCTGCACCTAGGGATTGGGCCTGCCCTCTGCCACCCGGGAACAGGCCTAAGCCAGCAGGGCGTTATCTCCCAAGGGGTCCCAGACTGCGAGAGTGCACAGGCCAGGCTGAGGGACCCCCCGTCCTCCCCGAGTGCACAGATTTTTGTGCACCGGGCCTCTAGTATATATATATATAAAAGCCTAAGTGATCATTACAACTGGACAACCCAACAACCGGATAACCGGACGGTAGCTATAACACACACTGACCACCAGGAGGCAGACACTCAACACAGGAGCTGCACCCTGGTGGTCAGTGTGCTGACACAGCCAACCTCCCACAGTCAGCCAATCTCTAGCAGTCCCTCCCCTTGACCAACCAGCCCCCATCAGGACTTGGCAAGATGGCCCTATGGGCTCCCATCATTGGGCAGGCAGAGGGACTCCACCTGTGCACCAATTCGTGCAGTGGGCTTCTAGTAATGTATATAGCAATTTGGCAGTTCTTTGAGAGGATTGGAGCTAAGGATGACAGAGGGCCCTACTGATGCAGTAACTCAGAACAGTGTCCAGTGGGAGGAAGCATGTGGTAACAGGAGCACAGCAACTGGCAATTTTTAAAATTCCATCATCTTCTAGAAACAATAGTTTTTTAAAACAATCATCCTCAAGATGATAGCACTGATAGACGTAAAGCTGATTCTTGGCAATGAACCACACTTTATTGCCCTACATATAACATTTGTTTTATCCATGCTCTTCTGAGACATCTCATCATTGACATTGTCATTTCTCATTGGCATCTGTAATTCACCTTCAATGGGCAGTTGATTGGTCTTTCTAAAAATATAAATCTAAAACTATGGTATAGCCATCTCCCACCTCAAGCTCCTCGGTGTCCTTCTTTTAACAAAGTTATCTATATTATATTTTAACAAAAAATATCTGTCTTATATTATTATCTTTAAACATAAAGCAGAATGAGTAATACATAAAACACAGGAACTTCATTATACTATACTTCTTGAATTTTATTTATTTTCAGAGTCAAATTTTTATTTACTTATTTTCTCTTGATTTTATTTTATTATTATTTATCCATCATCATTTATCCCCCATATACCCTCTCCCATCTACACCCACCCACCCTTCTCCCTGCAGTCACCACACTGTTGTATACTTATTGACTTTTAAAGATTACACATTATTTTGGGATCATTTTCTTTCTGCTTTTAAATTTTGCAAGTATATTATTTTTTTAAAATGATTGTGTATTAATCAGTATAGGTTTGTTCAACTACAGTAACAAACAAACCCTTATATCTCAGAGGCTTAATACAAAAGTTGATCTCTGGCCTTATCCAGTTTGGTTCAGTGGATAGAGTGTCGGGCTGAAGACTGAAGGGTCCCAGGTTTAATTCTGGTCAAGGGCACATGGCCGGATTGTAGGCTCAATCCCCAGTAGGGGGTGTGCAGGAGGCAGCTGATAAATGATTCTTTCTCATCACTGATGTTTCTATCTCTCTCTCCCTCTCCCTTTCTCTCTGAAATCAATAAAAATATATATTTTTTAAAAAGTTGGTCTTTGACTTATGCAAAATTCTCTGCTGATCTAGTGACATTTTCCAAGAACTGATGAAGGATTTCAGAATACGGGCTGACACATTGTAGCAATGCCACCTACACGTGTGGCCCTCCAGAGTCACTGTGGAGAGATTTGGAAGATGCACGAGAGCTATTATCTTGTCTCTGCCCTAAAGTGACTCATATCCCAGACTATTGGCTAGAATAAGTCCCTTCATCTATAGTAAAGGAGCCTAGGAAGTGTTGCTTTAGGTGTTTCCAGAAAGGCAAGAACAAGATATGAAATATTTTTCAGTAGGAATTTCTGTAACAGATTATGGTGGTAGATGGTAAATTAATTTCTTAGTGCCATGCAATGGCAAAAGAAAAATATAACACCCTATGTGAGCACCCCACTCAATCTGGGAAAATTTATCAGTGCATAAATGGCAAAGTATGGGAAATGCATTCTTATGAAACCCAAACAGCATAGCTTGGAATACATAGTTCTTCAAGGTCTGACCTTGCCAACATCTCCAGGATTATCAACAGACATCCCCTGATATGAATCTTACTTCTTAGCTTGTATCATTGCAATTCATGATCACATACCCTGTGCCAGTTATTCTCTATGCTTTGTTCTATCTTCCCTTTAAGTCTCCTATTAAGCATTACCCATCCTATGATCCTCCCAGACACAGCCAGTGCACTCATACCCCTCCATTAACACTTATCTCACTATGGGCCATTATTTGTAGACATCCTTGACTTCTCAATAGAACATGAGTTTTTTGAGGAAAATTGCCAAGTGTTTTTCATCCCTAAAATCCCAGAACCCAGTAGATTTCAGTATTTAGTTCTTAATAAGTACTGAAGAAAAGTTTGTTTCTGTTGATCAAGACTATCCTTATTTATATTTTAATAAATTTTTGAAAGGGTCTCAAATAATGGCTTAACTCTACTAAGTATACTGTCCTTTGGCTTAAGTAACTTTGAAATGCCACCAATCTATCAGCCTATCAGCTCTTATCTTAGTTCCTCCCTAATGTCATCTTGGTCCTTGTGACTGTTCCAGCTCCATGCCCACCTGGCACACAGCCCTGTCCCAACGTGCTCTGCACCGTGGGGTTTGGGCTGATCCTATGCTGTTCCAGTGAAAATGTTAATGAGGTCCTTATTTTTCAAAAAGTTGTCCAGAGCTATGGTGAATTTGCTTTGATTATAACCTGATGGTGTGATCTAGCAGCATTTTTTAAAACTGATTGGCTGCACGGTGAGAAATCAAACAATATGAAGACATGGACCACATTTGTTTCCTTCCAAGCGTCTCTGCAGATGTGTAGGAGAGTAAGGAAAGACTGAAAGCAATGAGGGCAATTCTCTTGAGAAATATTCACAGAACGCAATTCACTGCATTGCATACCAACTCTTTACAAGGCTATACCTTGGATAAAGCAAGATCGTTCCCTCTGGACTCACAATCAGCGTATGTGCTGGTGACAAAAAGGAGTGAACAGACCAGTATACCAAAGGAAGCTACAGGACAAATTCTCCTCCAAGAGAAACACCAATACTGAGGTGTGAGCATGCAAAGGAAAAAAATTACTGACTCACCCACTCATGTTCTATAACAGCTACTGATGAGTTGGTTTTTAAGTGAACCCTAACTTAAAAAAATAGTCAAGTACTGAGCAAGACACAATTCGTGATTCTTGGCATGGTTTGTATTATTGACTCCCTGGGTCTGGGACAGTACTGAAAAGGGAAGTATCTATAAACAGAATGAATAATGTGTAATA